ATGGACTGGTCCAGGAGAAATCGTGAATCATTGCCCACCTCATTCCTATAAAGTAAAACTACCTGATGGAAAGATCAAACATGTTCATGCAAATAAAATTAGAAAATTCCAAGCTAGTGTCAATGCAGTTGGAGTTGGAGTGATATTTGAAAATGAAGAAGAATTTGGAGAAATTATAACTTTACCAGGAAAAGATCTCTCGACCCCCCTGGAAGATTTTAAAATAGATGCAAATCTGAATTTAGAAAATTTGAATATGCAGCAGCAGAGAAGAAAATTGATAGCTCTTATCAACAACACCGAGCACTATTCACCGGAAAGCTGAAAATAGCTAAAGTTGAAGCTCATAAAATTAGATTAATACCCAATATGGAGAGGGAGAAACCTTACATTTATAGGATTCCTGAAGCATTGAAACCCAAGGTCGATGAAGAAGTAGAAGAATTATTGAAATCGGGACTAATAGAAGAAAGCAATGCAGAAATAGTCATCCAGTAGTTTGTGTAAGCAAAAAAAAATGGAGATATCAGATTGTGCTTAGATTATCGAGCTTTGAATGCAGTGACGAAGCCAGATGACTTTCCTATGCAAAATGCCATTGATTTAATGTACAGTATAGGAAGAGTCAACGTCATAACAACTTTAGTTTTGCTGAAAGGATATTGGGCAATTCCCATGGAGGAACAAAGTAAAGAGTACACATCCTTCAAAACTCATCGAGGTCAATATCAGTTTAAAGTGCTACCCTTTGGATTAAGGAACGCAGCAGCAACTTTTCAGAGAGTAATGAATAACACGCTGAAAGAATTTCAACAATTTTCAAGAGCCTATATTGATGACATAGCTATATTTTCCACGGATTTCGACACTCATCATCTGGATAAAGTTTTCACCGAACTAGAGTCACTTGGATTTACTATCAATTCGAAGAAATGTTCGTTTGCAAAACCTCAAATTAAATATTTAGGACACATTATTAGATCAGGAAAACATCAACCAGATCCCAAGAAAATAGAGGCAATCAAGAAGCTGGAAATGCCGAAAACGAAAAGAGATCTTAAAAGTCTGTTAGGACTATGTAATTATTATCATGATTATATCCCAGGGTATGCAGAGATCGCCTACCCACTCACAGAACTCACGAAAAATAAACAACCGGAAATACTTGAATGGAAAGAAATTCATGAGTCAACATTTCAACAACTGAAGGAACGATTAGCGATGTCAACGGAGCTGATCACCCCAATACTGCAGGATCCGTTTGTCATTCATTCTGATGCATCCCAAATCGGAACAGGTGCATGTTTATCACAGCAAAGGGGAGAGAAGCAATTTCCCATCTGCTACACGAGCAAGAAATTATCGAAACCTCAACAGAGCTGGCCGATTATAGAGCGTGAAGCTTATGCTATAGTATGGGCATTGAAGAAGTTTGAACCTTGCATATTCGGTTCATCGGTGAAAATTGTGACTGATCATAATCCTCTAGCCTTTATAGTGAGAAATGCTCCGCAATCGTCAAATTGCAAATTATGGCGCAACGATGGGCCATAGCTTTGCAGAAATATAATCTCGAAATAGAACATTGCCCTGGAAAAAAACTGTCAAACGCGGATGCATTATCCAGACTTCCTAACTGTGAACTTTGAACATTAATTTACTGTTCATCTTCACGAACATTTTGTATAGTTAATAATTAGATAGTTTTTCTTTGCTTTTCATAATCATTTTACAATTTTGTGCAAATAAGATGTTTATGTAATTTGAGATAGATAGAGAAATTATTGGATAACAAATATTCGAGGTAAGTGGTAAATTTAGATATTTGTCTCCCAAGGATTTAAATCATGCTGCAGCATCATTAATTAAAAGGAATGTTAAGAATATAATTTATATATATATAAGAAACTTAATAATTTTACTGTCATCATTGGAATAATACTAGGATATATTTTAACATGTTTGTAAAAGAAAATATCAACTTGGTTTCTTTGGGTTAAGAATTGATAAATTGTTACAATAATAATAAGGTTCGGAACAAGTGAAGTTAAAAATGATTTATCTATGTTTATATATAAAAATGTGTTATTTATGTTTATTTATGTTTATGCAGTAAATTGAGGTGCAATTGTAGGTATATTGCAAATGTCTATAGTAATTGAGATTTGAAAATTAGGATAGAATGTATAAAAGTATATGTAGTTTTTTTTTTTTTTTCTTTTTCACGTTGATCGCAAACAGTTGCTAGATTTTAGTTTCCAGATTGCTGATTGATTTGTAAATAATATCAACAACAATCTTACGACGGGGGTGTGATATCTGGCAACTGTTTGGCGATCAACAGAGCGTGCTTGGCGCAGATAGCTCTTCTCCGAAAAGGGTTAATGTATTTATTAGGAGTTGCATGTTAGCCTCGGAAGAGGAAGGTAGTATATTGTACTATGCGGTAGGAGCGACGTACTGCTCTGAGTAACTATTATATTATGCTTTGAATTATATATTTAATAAATGTTTGTTTCGTCTTGCTAAATGGTGCCTTATTAAACCACGAAGTCATCACAGAAATATAGGCACATTATTCATGACCTTGGATTGCGGAAATTTGCATATGCACAAATGGTGCCAGACTTTTTGGATAACCCAATATAATGTAGTAGTAAAATTCATTTTTCATACATAATTTCATTTCATAATTATTTCATCTGGAATGAATTATACATTTAATTGAAAAGCGGACTGTATTTACTTGAAAATAAGATTATTTGAACATATTAGGATAAATTAAAAGAAACAAATATAGATATTTATTTTGTCTTCCAGTAAATCTACGAAAGAGAATCTAATAGTAATTACTTGATAATTAATATTTAAACAGCATAGTCACTCTGCAAAGTATAATAATAAAGTTTGGTGAATTGTGTCATAGTACACATGGTAGAGAACAAATGACAAAATGCAGAAAAGATACTTCACAATGTGTTTGAATATGTCTCAGCATGGACCAGTAAAAAGCAATATGAATTTCTGTTTGTAACACTCTAATATGCAAAGATGTAGAAAAATGCTGTAAAATGGAGTAGCAGATGAATATGAAGTTCTATTTCAATTTTGGTGTATTTGTGAAAGAAAGTCATCACATGATAAAACAAGATAAGAGAAATAAAGTTTCCTGTATATTTGAACTGCATTTATGAATGGATAACAGCCTCTGTTTAAACTTTTTTCAGGATGGATGGGATTCCACTCAAGACACTGCTTGGAGTAGTAGGCCTGTGGCTTCTTATAGTGAGAAAGATGTTAGACAGAATGAAGAATAATGAATATTACTACATATAAAGCTGTTCTAGCAAATTTACTGAAAAAGATCTGTCAGGTATATCCAGAAAATGCTGAGCCACAATCTTGGTTCTTTCGCCACGATAATACCTTGCCACATTTGACCTCCTAGGGAAAACAGCTAATAATGTGCAGAATAGCTATGTATATATTGTTTATCTACCATGAACCTGATCTTGCTTCAGTAGACTTCTTTCTGTTGCCAAATCTGAAACAAGATCTAAAAGATAATGATTTGGGGATATTCCAAAAATGTAAAGCCATGTGACAAGGGCTCTATAGGTGATTGTGAAAGAAGTCTTTGCCTCAGTTTTCAAGAATTGTACAATCATTGTAGTGCATTATAAAGGACAGGCATTATTGCAAAGGAATGTGAAATAGTTTTTTCTGACTTAGGAGAGAATGTTTGTTTATGAACATATCCACTGAACTTTATTGTAATAATAAAATATATATGATAATTAAAATTCTTCCTTTAATTCTGCAATTTCATCTATCAACCTGTTTAAAAAGACCTGTTCTTCTTACCTATTTAAGAGACCTGAAATTAGTTCCTTATTATTACAGCTCTCCTTCTATAAACAATGCCTATATTATTGATAAGTCATAAACACAAACCCATCATTAAGTAGCTGGCAGTCATAACCATGATCATTTAAAGTTTGCTAGTAACAAAAAGACTTCCAGGTACATCATGTGCTATCTTCTTTTTTTTTTTTTTTTTTTCATACAAATGTTGATAATTCATGATCACTTATAACTGCCTCGTGACAAACAACAGCTCTGAGTTGTTTGTCATGAGGCAGTACATACTAATGCATTTTCTTTTTTCTTTAAAACTGTTTAAAATGTTTGATTTATGGAGAGGTGAGGAAGATTTTATATTTTTCTTCCAAGAAAGCCATTAAATGAAACTACATAACAATGAAAGCATTTTGAAGTAAAACATGAAATAAAAGCACATATTTTGACATTTCAGAATACTGTTTGTAAGAACATAGCAGTCATTTACTATTGGGCAGAGAAACCGATGTCAACTGAGAGGTGAGAGAAGCAATGCAACCTTTATACAAACACTATTGACTGTAGCAGTTTTATGAGGAACTGAAAAAAATCCGAGTCATTTTGCTGCGAAACATAAATTAAATTTGTTGATCCAACAACAGCTGCTTGCATGCAAAATACTAAAAACCATGGTGCTCCTCTAAGAATTACAATTAAAATCAACAAGGCATAGTTTGCAATCATTATGAGTCTTATTTTGGGAAATTAATGAGGTGAAAGTCCTTGCTCATGTTAAATTAAAATATGCTTCTCTTGTTAAATTAAAAGCAATCATAGAAACATGGAAAATGAATCTCAGATGGAAATATGAGACTGGTGATAATCCTGATGCTAATTTGGAATTTAGAAAATGGAGGCTGTAATAATAAAGAAGTACCGAACAAAAGTACACTAAAAATATAGAGTCTTATTTTCAAACAAATACAGTACAGCAATGAATTATATATATGAACCAATAAAATTATTCAACAGAGTGAAGCAGCATTACTTACTATTACAGCATTACTTACTTTTTACTAAAATTTGTTTTTCCAATTAATATGCATGATAGACAGAACTTATATGTACATAAAAATATGTAATAAAATTGAAAAACTCACATGTGAAGGAATGAAAGATCCCAGTAAAGTAGTGATACTCCAGAATGTCACACCAGCTGCAATGATAATTTTACGACTATACCTGTCTCCTAAATACCCAAACACAGGTGCCATTACCATGTAGCTGACTATGAATGATGTCTGCAGAAGACCTGCTTCAGTGTTTCCAATAGAATAGAATTTCTGTACATTATCCAAGATTCCTAAATATACCAAGGATTAAAAAACACTACTAATATTTATTAATTATAAGACACAATTTAAATTTAGGCATTAGCTTTATTGAAAAACTTTATGTAGAGAGACAGATCTTTCAAAATATATGTAGCTGTATATAAGCCAATATCAATCTATGACTAAATTTGCATAACTTTAAATTTATAAAATTAACAGCAGATTAAAGCCCCAACAGTGGCCAAATGGCTAAGACCACTGAATGCTAAGCATTCAGCCTCTGTTTAATCCTGCGTGAAGAAGCTGGCTGCATGGTTTTGTCTTTTTTCCTATGTGTAATGAGAGTACAAGCCAGTTTTCCTACGAAATACCTCCACGAAGGCATCCCTCCCCTCAAGCAAATAAGCCTAACACGATTTGACATATTCAAGTAAGCTAACCTAACAACTCATCTATTTTTTTAAATGTATGAATAACAGAATCCTCTTAGTAATAATACTATCATCAACATCACCAGGATTGTTCTTTATATGATTACAATGCAATGTTTAGTTATTTAAATGTAAAATATACTTTTAAAAATGTAATATATTTATTTCTAATCAGCCTATATGTTCTATTTGGTGATACAACAGCAGAAATTATGTTTAGTAGATTAATAAATGGTTTATTTCATGTTTTAGTATAATTGACTGGATATAATTGCTGCAATTTGATTCCCCCCTTGCTACTTTTCAGATTATCTGCCCCCCTACTAAAAATTCACGAACTCATGGGTGTTTAAATTTTCGCCAATCTAATACACAAAAGGTAACAACCATTTTAAAAATGGCAGTGCAACAAAGACAAAAGTTAAAAAAGTAAAAAAACTTACTACTTCTTTGTTATAACTTCTTAAGTTTGGTACTTCTTTGTTATAGCAGCCCCCATGATTGAATCGCCAATCAACCAAGACATCTCGCCAAAATTTGTCTGCATGTTCTTATACCTCATCACATTATCATACATTAGCACAGGCTGCATGTTTTTATACCTCGACATGTAACATATATTAGAAATGTGTTACATTTTTGCTCTCACTGCCTGTTCTTATATTATTCATTTCTGATGAGGTTTTCAAATTCACATTGTTTATTTAAAAATACAGTCATTGCTTTTTTTTTTCCTTTTTTTCCCCCTTTTAATTTTGTATGTATGAATACGACATAACAATCTTTAAATTTACCAAGTACTGAGGTAGATGCCATATAATTTTTTTCAAGAAAGAGGTCTTTTACCTGACAAACAAGTACATGAAAATGGCAAAAACATGAAACTTTTATGTTAATAACAAAACCATTTGGAGGTGTTATGTTAAAAATTACAAAAATAAGAAAGGCTTCTGTGTTGGAAACTAGTCCAGGGGTTCCAGGATATCGTTCATCACTGCTCTTAGATTTATATGTTCCTCCGCAAAGGAAATGAAATCCATGAAATGGTGTAACAAACAGCTTAAAATGTGTGAAAGTGGTGCAGTTGACTGGAATAATTACATGCAATAAAATAATAAGGATGCTTAAAAATATTCTTAGGAAACAACATGTGAGTATTACTGTTATTATATATTGTGTTGTTTATTTTTACACTCGTGCTTCATGCTTCACGAGTTTAGAAAAAATTATAGTTTGAGTCCACTATAACAAAGGAGTACTGAAATATCAGTTATAAAACACTTATTTTTTTTCCAGTAATCCTTCTGTGATTTTTTAGGAGCTACTATTTTTCCTATGTATATAACAATCCTTTTTTTTTTTTTTTTTCTAAAAAAGCATCACAATTGCAAAAATTATGCATGCCACATAATTTCAACATTGGAAATTTCACAAAAATAAATAAAGCAAATATTTGCTGCAAACAAGATACAGCTATCTATAAGCAATTTTTAACTCACATTTTAATGCTCTGCTTGCAATTTTCACATTCCATTGCTTAAGAATTTAATAGAACGCAAATTTTCGCTTTATCCATTGTTGGACAAAATGCCATATTTCTTGAGAAATACAATGTTTTCTTTCTCACTAGTCAAAAAACTTTACAATACCTTAACAATTCTTTATGAGAAAAAGAAATATACACAATGCAAAAAGAAACATTTTACTACTTATATAAGCATATGCTACCTCATACTTGAATTCCCATACATATACATATACTTTTTCACAGCATTTATGGGTTGCCACATACTTATTTTAGTCACATACTGTATTGACTCATGAATACTTTTTTATAACACTCTGGTGGGGGGGGGTGTCAGATAACAGAAAATGTCCTTTTTTATAATAAATATTTGCTGTTTATTCCTAATTTATAGCATATTCACAATATGAATGCAGTCAAATACACAATTCGATGATAAAAGATAACTAAATAGAAAGTCCGAGATCTTGAATCATTGGAAATTTCATTGATAAGACAGCTATATTAAAACCGCATGTGGAAATTATAAAATTAAGAGTATGATTTTCTTTTTAACCCACGGTCATACAAGCTGGGTATTTCATACCCAGGAGCATATTCTTTATTCCTCATCTCCAAACCCCATTTCTAAAAATGGGTGAAACTGTTTGTAGCTGAATTCAAGGTCATATTTTTGAAGCTGGGAAGTACCTGGAGTGATTCTTGGTATACTTTTCTCGGAATAGCACCGTCGGGGTATGTGACACCTATGCTTTCTCGCATCCCTCAGATTTTCATCCTCACTTAGTACGATAGCATGGCATCCCATTTAAGTTATGATAAAGAAATGGAAAGGCTGAGAAATATGTTAGAAACCATTTCAACAGGTGATGATTCATTCAGCGAAAAGAAGGAAGAATTAATACATGAAGAATGCACAATTACAATTCATCAACGGTTGTAGGAAAAAAAGTCACCCGGAATGGAAAACTAAGTCAATTTTGCAATGGGAAAAATAAGGCATGTTTAGAAATATCAATAAGCTGAGTGATAAAAGTTTAATAACATCCATAGCTTTTGGATTACCAGAGGAAACTTCTGACAAAAATTGCAAAAAGAAGTGCGAGCTGATGGTTTCTCCGTTATGTCAAAAATTAGAGGGGTGTCCAGTGGGTCATTGTCTGTCAGGTCATTAGTAACTGCTCCCCTTGTATGTAGTTACAGCTCTAAGCTGCAGTTCAGTGAAACATTTGACTGTCACATAATTGAAAACGAATTCATCTGAGCTTTGGTATAAAAACAGTGTTATAATAAACCATTGCAAATGCAATTTCACGGTTTGCAATAAGAATATTACTCAATTTTCTAGCTAATTAATTGTCAGATAGTTTTCTTTTTTGCATTTGATTTTAATTAAAAGTAACATATTTGCACAGGGAACAACTGTTTAATTTGGCATTTATGTCTGAACAGGAAAACAAGAAAATCACAGTTATTAAAAATTAAGAGGTTTATTTCAAAATTATATTAAAATTTTAAAATCAAATAAAAATGGATCCTATAACCAAAATGATGAGATACGCTACAGCGCCAGTGGCACATGTATTATAAGTTAAATGTGATGGCCCATCATGAAGCTTCTTGTGGCAACCTCTTCCAAAAGAATTTCTCAGAGTAGAAATAAATACTTGTACTGAGTATTATCTCTCTAAGATGACCACTTCCACCAAAGAGCACAATAAATGGAAACGTGGATGATCTTCTAACAGAGGATTTAATATACCGTAATTTTGCGCGTATAGTCCGCGGACTATCTGTGTTTAAAATGCGAATTTTTGAAGCTGCGGACTATCCACCAGTGCGGATAATACGCTGGTTGTTCACGGTTAAAATCGTTGAAATTTAAAAAACACGCTGTCGTGAACTGCCGATGATCAAATATAAAAAAAGCGCGAGATTGGCAAGAAAACGGTCGTATGTATCGATCAATAGTAAACCATAGAGCATAGTGCAGAACGAATGAGCAGTAGCAAGTAGAGCTCCCAAAACTCCAGGCCTGGCGCATCAAGCGATGCCTGGATATGAGCACTCAGCGCAACCAGAGTCTTGTATCCCAGTATCCTTCGCACTGCTTTAAGCGCAACTGACTGCCAGGAAGGGGGAAAAGTAGTTGATGCGTCAACTCGATTTTTAGGAGCCTTAGTAGCTTGTGTACCTGGAGGCCTGGAGTATGAAAAAAAAACGTGATTTCGTTTACTTATAGCGTGGTTTGGCAACACCGAGTGAGTGGGGTCAAGGTCACATTTCATTACCATTTATCACGAGGATACCACGTTGCACAGTATTTTGTTTTCGTATTTTGTCTTTCATCTTCGATGAATTGATGATGAAACATCGCCGGAGTTTTACTGCCGAGTTTAAACTCAAGGTAGTTGAGAAAGCTGAAAAAGATGGAAATAGAGAAAGCGGGCCTTTATTTTGAAGTGGACGAGAAAGCGGTGAGAAACTGGCGCAAACAAAAGGATGTGTTAAAAAGCATGGGAAGAAAGCGATCCAATCGGCACGGAAAAGTAAAATGGACAGCTTTAGAGGAAAATTTACTGAGATGGGTTCTCGACCAAAGAAATGCCGAACGCTCCATTTCAACAGTTAAAATCCGTATCCGAGCGAAGTCCATGGCAGAAGAGATGCAGATAATGGATTTCAAGAAAGGGATAAATTGGGTTTACCGCTTCATGCGTCGTAAAAACTTGAGAGTTCGCACCAGAACGACAATGTGTCAGGCTGTTCCGGACGACGTAGATGAAAAAAAAGCTTCTTTCCTTCAGTTTACAAGGAAAGTTATTGCAGAAAGGAAGTATTCCCTAAAAAATATTATAAATATGGACGAAGTTCCATTAACATTTGATTGCCGATCGCACCGTCGATACTTGTGGAGTGAAAACAATATCAATAACAACAACTGGTCAAGAAAAGACCCAATTCACAGTGATGCTTGCCTGCTGTGCTGACGGCACAAAGTTGAAGCCGCTCTTAATCTTTAAGAGAAAAACAATTCCCAAGGAAATTTTCCTCGAAGCGTCGTAATACAGTG